TGTACATTACCAAAAATTACTTTTATTTGGTATATCTGTATAGTGAAAAATGTTTGTTTGATTTAATTAATAATTTGAAAAATCTTAAGGGTATCTAATTTAGTTACTAATATATTCATGAACAACTGTAGTTAAGTAGGCTATCATAAAATTAGATGCTATTTACCGGATCAGAGTAGATCCTTAGTGATATAACAACAATTGCAGAAATGGACATCAATTTAATAAACAATTGCTCTAATATTTGAGTAGTAATATAATAAGGAATAACATATTAATATATTTAAAACCAAGCAAAACCAATTTCAACAATTGCGTAGTACAAACTGGCGTAAACAACGCAAAATAACATCTAAAAGTGTTGTGTACGGGCTGTGAGTAGCGGCTCGAGGACTGCAGTGACGTCACTGCCTCGGTCCGATGGGCGAGGGGGGGAGAGGGGCGCGCTCTGTCTGGCCCACCTCTTTTACTCCACGCATCTTGCTACACTGTCACCGTTGTAAATCTGTTGGTTTATTAATTTAGTTAGTTTTTTAGTATTAGTCATTGTTTCTGTAAGTATTCTATATATTCGTACCGACCATGATGCTGTTAGTTACTCGATGCTGACTGCAGTTCGGTGAGTGATCAAAGCCTAGTCTTAGATTGACATGGTAACTATTCTTGTACTTTTAGGATAATAAAGGAAGATTTTAGCAAGGATGATTCCACAATTTAAGCTAGCCTTGGCCAATGTGGACTGGAGAGCCATTGTAGATAATCCCTCTGTAAATACAACCCCAGATCTTTTGTTTAATGCTTTCTTCGATAAGTTCTTATTTGTTTTTTATGGGTCCCCAAAACAGTACCTATGGATAGGCAAGTGACACCTAGGCAGCAGCCAGTCAATCAGGATTGGTTTTCTCCAAGACTCGTCCAGCATGGCGTGTCTGCTTTTCAGCACACGATTGATAAGATTATTTCTACTGAAGAACTAGAAGGGGTGTGGGCTTTCATTGATGACATAACCATAACAGGAAAAACACAATCAGAACATGATGAAAGGCTGAATAAATTCTTAAAGTTAGCTAAGAAATAATATAATATTACTCTAAACAATGAGAAGAGCAAATTTTCTCAAGACATAATATCAATCCTAGGATATCAAATTCGCTACCAGTCTATGCAAGCAGATCCAGAGCGTCTGAAACCTTTGTTAGATTTGCCACTGCCAGTTAATGCATCTCAATTAAAACGTGTATTAGGAATATTTTCTCACTACTCAAAGTGGGTTCCTAAGTTCTCAAACAAGATTCAACCTCTGATTGATTGCAAATCTTTTCCTATATTGCCCTCATCTTTTCCAGCTTTGGCTTTTTAGGAAATTAAACAAGACATAGGAAAATCTATACTCACCGTGATTGATGATCTTTTTCCATTAGTTGTGGGAACAGATGCGTCGAACTTCGCTATCGCTGCCACGTTAAGTCAAAAGGGTAGACCTGTGGCTTTCTTTTCAAAAACATTGAACGATTGTGAAAAATGTCATTCCTCTATTGAGAAGGAAGCACTAGCCATAGTTGAATCTCTAAAGAAGTGGAGACATTTCCTCATTGGGCGACATTTTCTATTAATCACCGATCAACAGGCTTTGTCGTTTGTGTTCAACAGTCTGCATACTAGTAAAATAAAGAATGAGAAAATCACTAGATGGCGTCTTGAGTTGTCACCTTATTCTTTTGACATACAGTACAGACCAGGCAAAGAAAACGTCACCGCAGATGCATTTTCACACGTTTATGGAGCTGTCACAAACATAAATTGTGATGACAAGCACTTTTGCATTTCACCAGTCACTCTGCTACCCTGGTATCACTAGGATATACCACTGGGTAACAAGTAAAAACCTCCTTTACTCGATTGAGGATGTTAAAAAAATGACAAACAAATGCCCAATGTGTACAGAGATGGTTCGGATTCCACTATAAACTGTAGGTCCCTTAGTTGCCATTAGCTGTATGGGCTATTAATTAACAGCTGTGTCTAAGGAACATGTCGGCCTTAGTCACTAACAAGACTACAAGATCGCGCCACTCATTCTACATTCATCCTTCACTCATATTTGGGTTAAAATACGCACATAGTGGCGTCCCCATCTTAAATAATTGAATTGAATTGAGATTAAACCTCGTTTCTATAAAACCACAAATGCTCCCCTTATCAAGACAAAACCTTTTGAGTGACTAAACAGGCCCGTTTTTGACCCTGTCAGCGCCCTAGGCACAACTAATAGTAGCGCCCCTTTGCAATAACAGGGTGTCCACCAACCGAGAAAACTGGGAAATCCGTGAATTATGCATGAGTTTTTTAACCAGGAATTATGCATGAAATTTGTATTTCTACCTGGAATTTTCAATTTACCGCGATCGCGCATGACAACAGTGACGTTTCCGTGACCGCGGGAGACGATAATATGTCTACACACGGCCGCAAAGGATGATCAGAATTCTCCGCCATCGCAGAAGACGATGATGACATCTACAGAGTCATTAGGGATGATCAGAATATTGCCGCGATCACGGAAAACCATGGTAGGCTAATGTCCACACGACAACGGGAAACAGCAAGAATTTGACCGCGATTGCGGAAGACGATGATGATCTCCACACGACTGCGTGATATTATTAACATTTTGCCACAATCGCGGGAGGCGATTTACAATGTTTTCAAAACCGCGGGAGACGATTACGATGGCTACAGGACTGCGGGAGATACAATAATGATACGAGAGGGATGATCAGAATTATGCCGCGATCGTGCAAGACGATGATAATGTCCATGTGACCATGGGAGATGATTACCATTTTGCCAGAATTTTGCTATCCACGGAAGACGGATGATCTCCACATGGCCACGGGAGATTATTACCATTTTGCCTCAATCACGGGAGGCAATTACTATGTCCAAACGATCACGGGGGACGAAATAAGTATGTCTTCACGGCCGTTCACCTATTCGGTAAATCGGCCCTGCGACTAAATGTAGATTTTAAGGGTCCTTTGCCATCTTGTACACAAAATCGATATCTATTGACTATAATCGATGAATATTCACACTTCCCATTCGCATACCCCTGCAGTGATATGTCCTCAAGCACAGTAGTTCGCTGTTTAGAATATCTATTTTCAATATTTGGAGTACCAAACTACACACATTCAGACAGAGGGACATCTTTTCTTCCAAAAGAACTCAGGGACTACCTTCATGAGAGAGGAATAGCCACTAGTCAAACGACTCCATATAATCCAGCAGGAAATCAAGTTGAAAAGTTCATTGGAACATTATGGAAAGCAATCTTGTTAGCTCTGACCTTGTCATACCTGCTGACTCCAATCACCCACACAATAAAAAAATGGCTTATTTCCGCTTATTTATCTACAGGCTCTTAAACTGTAATATTGACGAACCTGATACAAAAAAGAAATTAGAGTAATAAAAAACATAGCAACAAACAATGGATAAAACCCTTCCATATTCGACCCTTATTATAAACAAAATGAGAAGAAAAATAAAACATTTATTTGTCAGAAAACAAAACTACAAACCAAAATCCCGAACCAAACCCAAAATATGTACCTATCAAATATGCTGACAAAATTTCAGAAAAAATCTGCAAAGCATTCAAAAAATCTGGCTACACACCTGTATACCAAGTCAAGAACACTCCTATACCATTATACAACATTGAAAGAAGTACAGAGGCCCGCACAATAGAAAAGGACAGAGGAGTATACAAAATAACCTGCAATCCCCCTTGTACCAAACAATACATTGGCTACACAAACGTATCATTTTAGAGCGTTTCAAAGAGTACAAAAATAGCCACTACAAAAATCCCACTTTGATAGTAGCAAAACATCTCAAACAAAACCCCAACCACTCAATGGCATTCCCCAATTCCCTCACAGTTTTAAAACAAACTCAGTCTAAAATCAAAGCCAAAATACAGGAAACCTAAAAAATTTATAAACATATAAACAAATATCAACCTGATACTAGCCTGCTTAATGTAAAAGAAGATTAACAATTCCATCACCTTTAAAATTATACATGAAATAGAGACTAAATCTAATGAAAAATGGCAACTTCATAGAAAATAGGCAACGCCGTAGAAACAACAATTCCGGGAAACCGCCTGACAATGTCAGTCTAACTGTCCAAGATGTGCTGGAAGTAAGCTTCCCGCGCCCGCCGCGAGTGCAAGCAACCTCAGTGATAAGATATATAAACTGTTCAATACCTAACTCACAAACTTTGTATATAGTAGTGATATAGTTTAGTTTAACTCTGAAGATGCCACAACTTGTGGCGAAATGGGCATCAGTGATCTACAAAACTTAGAACTATAAAGGCATTTCTACAAAATAAAAGGTAACTTGATTTAAAAGTTCTTGAAACTGTGTAAATTAATTAGCCTTGATGAATATTTTGAAGCAGACTTTGGCTCTATTAATATTGCTTTATGTTTTTAGTGCAGCATGTTTTTATGGTTGTATTACTGATTTTTGTATTTTATGTTCCCATGACAAGATCGATGGCATGTATTTTGATCAATAAAAGTTCAATAAATGTGTTTATGCTTTATCATACGATGTAGGCCTCAAGTGGCATTTTGCCATATGAACCTGTGTTAGAAAGTAGTCTACCTATAAGTAAAAAGGCAAAAAGTGTACTAAAATCCTAAATTCATAGACAATTAAATTTTGATTTAATTGGCTAAGTATTCTTTGTGTGTTAAAACAACTGGCAGAAACCACCACAGTTTTATGATGCTAGTGCTGTTTTATGATTAGTTCATGAAACTACTGTACTTTAGGAAGACAGAAACAAAAGTGTGGTTCGTTATGGCACATGACATAGGTTCTATAAATCTTTTAAGGCCAACAAAAACACAAAAGAACTTGTCATATTATGTTAAAATCAACTACCAGGTGAGATTAAAACACAATGTTTAGGATTACCTGTCTCTAGGGACCCATTCATCCAAACGTCTATTGTAGCCTTCATAATGAACATAATATTCATAGTGACTTTCTTGCTCATTATATCGGGTTTGAATTATTTCTGCTGGATCTGAAAAAAAAACAATTTATTTATTAATATTTTTTAATCTTCCAATTTTAAGAAATGTAGCTTAGATCTCTTAGAAATTTAGAATGTACGAGTTATTTTGAATCCTTCATCCAGCTCTCTAGCCCAACCTAATCCAACGGCATCCATGGGTGGTGTAGGCTACTATACCGCCCTTAAGGATAACTAATAATGTCCGTTCTATCTGCTGCACTTCTCATTGTATCATGGCTGATTGTGTGGTTGTAGGTTTTCCAATGTGAGAATGCTAATCTTTGAGAACTCATTAAGATGTCCAAACTTTTACAGTGATCATGAAAGATGCTCATGATTCTGATCACGAAAGACGATTATGCATCAATTTTCTTTTCATAAATTTTCTTCTAACCCTATTAGCCTAGGCGTTTTTCAAAAATCGCACTCCTTCAGCTTCAAATAACGCCCTAATTTAAAAATTTGGTAAAATTTTTAAAAAATTGTAACGGTTTTCGCCATTTTTTCTTACCTAAATAATTCTTTTTTACAAATATTGTTAATGCTCTGTATCCTTCTTAGTTGACTTTAAATTTTACTCATTTAATGTTTTTTCGTATCTTTACTCCTTAACCCCCAAAATTTAGGTTTAACGTCAAAATTTAAAGGTTTTTAACCACTTTTATGAGCCCCATGTTATTCTTATGGAGAATAACATTGAAAGTTGCCGACTTTGGTATGCTCATCTGAACCGTTTAGAAAGGTGCTAGAGACTTGAAACTTCGTAGTATTGCAGTATGGTATCTTACATTAAAGGTGAAATTCGTAAAAAACCATTTTCAAATATCAACCCCCTAAAAAATCCAAAATGGCGGACATGTAAAAGCGACAAAACACGTTCTTTTCAAACGGCTATAGCTCGAACACGGTAAGAGCTAGAAAGGATTTGAATGAATTTTCATAAACAGGAATTAAATTTGCTACAAAACCCTCTTAGGCGTTTTCCGAAAATCGCACTCCTTCAGCTTCAAAAAACGCCCTACTTTCAAAATTTGGTAAATTTCTTTCAAATTTTTACCGGTTTTCGCTATTTTTTCATACTTAAATAAATATTATTGCTTTGAATTCCTCTTACTTTACTTTAAATTTTACTAATTACATGTTTTTTCGTAACTTTACTCCTTGACCCCTAAAACTTAATTTTAATGTCAAAATTTGAAAGTTTTCACGAGCTCCATGTTATTCTTAAGGAGAATAACATTGAAATTTAATGACTTTGTTATATGGTCATCTGAATCGTTTAGAAACGTGCTAGAGACTTGAAATTTGGTAGTATTGTAGTATGGTATCTTAAATTATCGGGGAAATTTGCAAAAGTCCCATTTTCAAATTTTAACCCCCCCAAAAATCCAAAATGGCGGACCTCTGAAAATGACAAAACACGTTTTTTCAAACGGCTATAGCTTGAACATGGTAACAGATAGCCTAGATAAGATTTTAAATCATTGCGCCCATTACGAAAAGATAAATTTTACAAATACAGCCCCCCCCCCCCCCCCGAAATATTAAATCCTCCCCCCTAATATTATTCTTACAGGTGCATAAGTCTAAATCACGTTTACCCATTTCTAGATTAACTGGATATCTGATATTTGGCACGATTGTAGGTCTTGCGCCCTGTCCCCAGTGGCTCATTATTACTTACCCCCAACAAAAAAGGGGGCCTGGGGGCGGAGCCCACAGCGAGCCAAAGGCGAGTCTTTGTACATAGGCATTAAGATTAAGTTAATAGGCCTACTCAGGATGAAACTCTGGAAGCATGAAACCATTACCAGTACCTAGGGCCTATAGGATAGCTATCAAAAGTAGAATTAAGTTAGGAGAAGTTAACTAACTTACAGTAGGCCTACTAATAGATTAGGATGGTTTGATATTTAGTCTAAATACAATCGAGTCAGATTCTAAGTACCTGTGGTTTAGCTAAGTTTGACATTTTGGCAAGTAACAATCGACTAATTTTGATTTGATCATTAAACACATAAACAAACTTAAACCAACCAACAACCAAACATTCTATGGTTAAGTTTACAGTTCCTCAGATTTATATAGGGTTTTTTTTTCGTTGTTTCATCGTATTTTTAAGATAGGTATCGTACCTATATTATCGCATGAATAAAAATATAGGCACCAAGGTAAATATAGGTTTTAAAATATTTGGTAAAAAAAATTTGATAAAAGAATTTTAGTTAAAATTTGTTTAAATTTTTTATTGATATACTAGCTGGCCCGACAGACGTCGTCCTGTCCTAATGTGGTTTTATGTCAAATGCTCGTTCATTTTCAAGATGAGCTCGTTCGCATGGCTCAATCGGACGTCCTGGTTGAAGTTCGTTCGCTACGCTCACTCACCTTTAGGTTAGAGCTAAATTATTAATTATTGAATACCAGAACATTGTTCTATTGAACATGTTGAAAGAAGAACATTGTTATATGACTGTAGTAAAATATGAAAAAGTTTGGTGTTGACTAAGCAATTGCTCAGAATTACCCAAATGAATGTAGGGCGAAAGGTAAAGTGCAGCCTACATATCTTCAGTAATATTCATCTGCGGTGAAAAGTGATGGTATGTTTGAATTCAGGGCTGCACTTTACTTTACGTCCTACACTCATTCGAATGTAAATATTGATCGATATATCAATTGTTCATATCATTTGATTAATTAGGCCTAGGTAAGGTTAATTTCATTCGGTTGTTTCATTCCAATGAGTGTAGAACGTAAAGTGCAGCCGAATTCAGGTAAAAAAACTACAGGTAAAATGTAAGTAATGTAAGATAGGCTATCAAATTTAAAAATTTGTTTGGAGGCACCTAGCCTAGGTATATTGAATATCCTTTTGTTTAATTCAATGACCTGACGGCTGCACTTTACTTTAGGTCCTACACTCATTCGAATGAAACTTGTTCGATTGTTTCATTCGATATATCGTTTGGTTAGGTAGGTTAGGATAACCTTACCTAACTAACCAAACGATATATCGAATGAAACAATTGATTAATCGATATATCGATCGATATTTTCATTCGAATGAGTGTAGGACCTAAAGTAAAGTGCAGCCGACCTGACTTAAATAGGTTATCTCATTCATAAAGATAAGCTTTGGTTTTAACTGAAGAAAACATGGCCTAGGCTATCATAGCTTTTATGTTGAGCTTTTACGCTAGGCGTAATGCTGAGGTAACTTAATGTGCTCAAGCCTAAACATGGGGGTTACAAAATATTTACCGGAAGCACTTATGTTAAGTGCTATTTATTTTACTTACGCCAAGAATCGTCGGACCTCCGAACAAGATAGTGTTCTCCAATGTCAAGGGGCTGTTCTTCTAACGATTCCGAATCTTCATTGTCTCCAGTGGGTTTCTCGTTGTTGAAATTATCAGGCTTCTTCTCGGTTTTCATAATCATATTTCACAAAATACTACTTCGATTAAATCACCGCTACCTCACTAGTCAGTCACTTATCTTGTTATTAAAATTTATTGTTTATCGTGCGGTATATTTTGATTGTTTTGTACAACGTCAAAATGTCAAACTGACTGAACTGAGACGAGAACCGAGAACCACGAACGACCGAATGAATGCCAAATGAGATTAGCGTCGTCTTGCATTGCATCTCAGCCAGCCCTTGTCCTCTGCTGAAGCGAGTACAACACTCTTCGGATTCACTCTACCGTAAGGTGACTTATTATCTTGTGATGACGTCATAGGAGAATATAGGCAAAGGTTAAACATACACCGTACTCTCAAAGCTGAAGCTTGTACCATTGATTTTATATCTCACAACCTTGGAGGATATATAGTCATTGCGAATGTAAGGATACATTATTTTAATCTGTTAATTCGGTTACACTTAGATTGCAGTTAAATGTTAAATTCGTATCATAATTAATTATCATCACTGACTTTGAATACGACAAGTGGTGGCAGACTTCTCATCCTATTGTAAAACCTGAAGCTTGCTTTAAACAACAGTTTGATAAAAGCAGGTGCCAGACTGATGATGGTTCCAAAGTCAAAACTAAATGCCACATCAACCAACTAGTACACCAATAATACTGGTACCATACTTGGTCAAGTAAAGACGCGCCGTGTCACACGACATACTCATGAACTTTGAATAGGTACTTACTGTACTTGAATACTGCATCGCGGTGACCTACAAAGACGGAGAAGATTGCACTTCTAAAACTAAATCTAAAAACAATCAAAATTCCCCGCATGGTTCAGCAGAGAACTCAAGCAACAAGTCATCCATAAAAAACTTGCGCACAAGAAATACAAGTCAACACTTAGTACTTCAGACTACAATGAATTCTCTCAAATCAGAGAGCGCTGCAAGCAACTATCGAGGCGCTGCTATTTAGATTATATATCTCATGTGCAAGACACGATCACTACAAACCCCAAAATATTCTGGAGCTTCTTGAAAAACTCTAAACTGCAGAGGGACACGCCTGCAAGTCTGACTTATAATGGGGTGACCTCCACAGAACCAAAGGAAATGTGTGAACTTTTCGCTAGTTTTTTCTCTTCTGTTTTTACTCCACCTACTGTGGCCCCCCAAACACAATACGATATCTGCAGCTCTAACCTGATCAGTTCATGTACTTTCTCTGAGGAGGAAGTGTTAAGAGCCCTTCGCGACTTAGACACATCTAAAGGCTGTGGACCTGACTCTGTACCACCCTCTGTACTCAGACACTGTAGTAGCATTATTGCTAAGCCTGTCCAGCAGCTATTCAATGAATCTGTGCATCAAGGAATCTTCCCAACTGCCCTCAAGTCCAGCTACATAATTCCTATCCACAAGTCAGGCTCTAAAACCGATGCTAAAAACTACAGACCCATAGCCATTCAACCGGTGCTCGCTAAGGTTTTTGAAAAACTAATTCTAACCAGGGTATCCCCAGTGATAATTCCAGCCTTAAGCCCCTCCCAGCACGGCTTTGTCCCGGGGAAGTCAACCATAACTAACCTTGTCACATTTGAATCCTACGTAATGGCTGCTTTCAAAGAGGGTTTCCAGGTCGATGCTCTGTACCTGGACTTTTCAAAGGCTTTTGACAAGGTTAGCCACAATCATCTCCTTGTTAAACTTGAGTCCTATGGAATCCACGGATCGCTGCTGCAATGGTTCGGAAGCTATCTGAGGAATAGAAAGCTTATTGTAAGATTTACCTCCTCACAATCTTCAGTGATCGATGCTACTTCGGAGGTCCCGCAGGGATCACACTTGGGTCCAATACTTTTTATTGCCTTCATTAATGACATCGTCAGGGGCCTAGGAGTCAACCAGCTATTATTTGCTGATGATATGAAAATATTTACAAAGATTGGGAACAAAGCCGATGAGAGCTCCCTTCAGGACGCCCTAGATGCCGTTGAAGTGTGGTGTAACAAAAATTGCATGGTGCTTAACAAAGAAAAATGTTTTTACATGTCCTTCCATAGAACACGTTCTAGACATAACACAAGTTACACTCTCAGTGGTTGTAGTCTTCAGAGAAAGGATGAAGCCAAGGACCTTGGAATTTTGATGCACTCTTCTTTAAGTTTTACCAACCACATCAACAACATCTCATCCAGAGCAAGCAGGAACTTAGGTCTAATATATAGATCCTCACACTACCTTACAAACCCATCCACGCTAAAGCTGCTTTACTGTGCTTATGTGCGACCCATACTTGAATACGCATCTATTGTATGGTCCCCACACCAGGTAACGGCAGTGTCCACATTGCAGTCAGTACAGAACAGACTATTACGCCTGGTCGGCTTGAGACTTGGGTTCACTTATAGATCTGTACCAATGGATGAGGTATCTTGTCTGCTGAAGTTGGATACACTGGAAACCCGAAGAAAACTCCAGGATATCATCTTTCTCTTCAAACTTGTCAACGGAATAATAGACTGTCCTGAGATACTGGAGGGAATCTATTTTCGCGTTCCTAGTGGCACAAGGTCAACTGAACTCTTTGGTAGAGCCCACCAGTCCACCAATTACGAGAAGAACAGTACCTTGCCCAGAATACAGCGCCACGGCAACACCGTCTCCTCCAGTGTTGACTTCTTCAAAAGCAACCTGGCCAGTTTTAGAAGAGCGGTAAAGCGACGCCTCATCCAATAACGACAGCCCAGATGATACGTGTTGGTAAAGCGAGTTTGTGCGGTTGTGCTTGGCGATGCCTTTAAAGGATCGCATTCGGAATTTGTGGGTGAATGGTGTGCTTGTGTTATAGGTGGCGCCTTTAAAGGGCCACACGCCTGAACAGGCAAATAGTGCGTGAGTGTTTAGCTTATTAATTAATTAATTAATTAATTTATTTATTTATTTTTTTGTTTGTTGTATCTTCAATATCCTTGTTGGTAATAATCATTATTTACACTTGTTTTTTTCCTAGTTTCTTTTCAAAATCACATTCATTAAACTGCATGTTCCTTGTAAATACTAAACAAAGTTGTTCATAATTGCTCTAGTCATAATCTGTTATACTTATTTAAGCTAATATTTATTCTCCCAAACATGCCTGTTTTCCTTGTTATTTATGGTTATTATGTATTACGATCGTCTTTGTTATGTTTTTGCTATAATTTATTGTTGTTAATTACTATATTATTGTTATTTGTTTTGTTGCCTATGTCTAAGTGTTAAAAGTTCACAGTTGTTATTTAATATTAGTCATCTTGAACTGTACAATGTATCTTTAGTACCACATCAAACAAAATGGAATGTCCGTTGAAATAAAAAAAAAAAAAAAAAAAAAAAAAAAAAAAACTAACTACGATGGTGGCTAGTTGCCAAAAAGTGATGTGTCATCCACTTCACTCCATATGAATACAGAGGTCTGTCCACCAAATATACCCTCAGTCTATCTTTAAGTGTATATATTCATTGTATTTTTAAAGGCCCAAAATAGGTTCAATGCCCATCTCACGCATTTCAACTACAGTATGTCGTGTCCTTTATACTTTCTATGATCAGTTGTTAATTGAAAAACAATGAAGTTCAATGTTTACCTGTACAATTTACAGTTTGTCAGCTGGTCATATTGTGTTGTGAAAACCAAGAATTTAATTATGTGAGTTATTTTCACTTAAATTCTTGGTAAGAATTTCACTGGACTTTTTATATTCTGTTAATAAGATCCTTTTGGTCATTAGTGTTTAATCTTTCATTAAAAACTGTAAAGTTTTGTGTTTTAATAAGGAAGATTTACGTATTAGTTTCCATAACCTCAATCTTTCAATTTGTTGTTTGATTTGTGTTTACCTTTGTTACCTTTGTTTCGTTCTTTGAATCAGCTAATACTATGTTGGATCATGACTATGGTATTGACACTGGTGATTCAAAAAACGGTGATGTGATCTGTAATCGTGAAAGTCCAGCGAATGAACAACTTTTTTTGTCGTCCGCTCAAACCAGTGACGTCCAATCGAATACTAATATTGTAACCACGCGTCATGATGGTTTTTGGCAAACTGTCCCGGGTAATACGAACTTGTAAGAGGGGAAATGTTAATCTGAAAACCCGTCATTCTAAAAAACCTCGACAATCGACCTCAAACAATGTGGTTCAAACGGGAAACATGTTTGAAGCCCTTAGTGACTCAAGTGACATGGAAGAAACTGTTATTTCTGACAATAAGGAGAAGGAGATTAAACCTCCACCCATATTCATCCCAAACGTGTCTAATATCAAACAAATGATGACATCAATAGAGTCAGTGATCCATAGACATGAATACACTTACATGTGCATAAACGGTAATAAGGTCAAAATTTGTCCATTATCCATTGACTCATATCGAAAACTAGTTCATAAATTGATTGAGCTAAAAGTTCCGTTTCATACATTAATTTCAAGTACCGGTACCTAAAACAAGACAGGTCTTTCAGAGTGGTCCTGAAGAATATGCATTTCTCAACTGACATAGATGATATCAAATTATCAATTGAGGAAAAAGGCCACAAAGTACGTAATGTATCAAATATAAGGGACTTTAAAACTAAATCACCACTTTCACTGTTCTTTGTGGACTTAGAGCCTAGCCAAAATAACAAAGACATACGGTATATAATATTCAATATTTGTTGAATGCCAAAATCGTGTTTGAACCACCAAGAAAAAGATCAGAAATTGTCCAGTGTAAAAAGTGTCAACAATATGGGCACACAAAGGGTTACTGCTGGTATCCATTTCGCTGTGTGAAATGTGGTCAAAACCATGATACCTTGATTTGTACAAAACCTGTCGCTGAACCACCAAAGTGTGCTTTGTGTGAAGGGAACCATCCAGCGAACTACAAGGGTTGTGCAATTTATCAAGAAATCAAACGTAAAATCAACCCTTCGCAAAAGTGTTTGAAGGAGTCGAGAACTGCAACTGGGTCAGCTCGTGCCGAAGTGTCAAGTAGATCCTTCACTGCTGATAAACCTGATGTTACACATCAAACTTATGCTCAAGCTGCTGCCACTCCTAAATCAGCACCAAAATGTGAGTAGTGAACGATCTAGCGCCAACAATCTTGAGCATACAGTTACCTGTTTTATTGAAAAATTTGAGAAGCTAATATTACAACAAACCCAACAAATAG